AAAAAAAAAAAAAAAAAAAAGAAAGCAGTTAATTTAACCTCACAAATATTTAAGAGTTTTTTGTCGAGTGAGCGGGAAAGGGTGAGTCATCCGATACCATCTTTTGAAGGCGACAAAGGCTGATAGAGTGAAACGGTATATGTTAGGCGTACCAGCGGCTCGAATGAGGACGCAGGTATATTTCCACATTTGCCAGGATTCGCCGTAGATCCTCTCGCAGCTAAGAGAGGGTTCACGGGCACCATCTTCTGGTGTTTCAGGCATATGACGCGTCAATTATCGTGACTCGTAGAACGAGGACAAGAGGCTACAAGATGGAGGTTCCTTGGGATTCGGGGGCAAGGGGATTTCTAGAAACTGTTGAAGAGGGCTGAAGCGATAATCAAGAGAGCTTGGAGGGTGGACTCACGTGGTGTACGGTGCCGTCGGCGGTTCTGGCATCTCGCTTGGTCGGCCCTAGGCCGTCTCGTATACAGGGAGACGCGCGTCCCGACGCAGGGGGGGACGCCTTTCGCCGCCTCTCGACGTCTCACCTCGCCACGGGTACCCACAAGCAAATCCCTGATAATGGCCACGCGCCCTCGCTCTCCACCTCCACAATATATTCTAAGGAAAGTCCGCGAAATTCAGGAAACGGACTTGCCAATTTTGATCCAGATAGGCGCCAACCTGCGCAACAATTTCACGAAAACGCTGGCAAGAGAATACGTGCTTACGGTTAACAGAAAATACGACGACTGTCATGGCGTCCCTCGCCCACCCCGCAGGAACTTACGCGTTTGGAGCATCATTTGGTCGATCAGTTTTTCATCGATTTCTATGAAAAAATCACTTGATAAATAAACTTGCCATAACGAAAAACAAATTTCAAATGAGGTTTTCTGGAAATAAACCGCTCAATCGTTAACATGGAAGAATGAAATTTGTCAAGTGCTCTTTGTTAGTTCATTCAGTATGCGCGCGCAGCATCCGGCTGCGCGCGCCGTTTCATCACTTCCTGTATTACAACCCGCTAAATTACAAATATCAAAATCTAAAAGTATATGAGATATTTTTTAATTTAATTTATTCATTTAAATTTACGATCGAAATATTATTTTTTGTGTCAGAAGCCATTTAACATTAAGAATTAAATTGTATAATTTTATCACACAAAATAAGTTGTAAAAATGATATTCTTTAAATAGTCGAAATACTTTATTGTAATTTTATAATTGTAAAAAAGTATTGGAAGTAGAAAATAAAAATGAATTAAAAATATAAAAAAGCGAATTGATTACATTAGGTAGTTTATATATATATATATATATATATATAAAATTATATATAATATACATAAGTATAATTATATATAATTATATTTATAATCACCTTATATTTGCTAGTAAAATATTATTTACATCAATTTGTACATACAGTTGACCATTTTGGTTTTTTGTGTAACAGCATATACATACATATGTTATATTGAAAATGATCTGCAATATTTTATTTAATAATGATATGTTGGTGCATTCATAAAAAGATATTTATAATAAAAATCTAAAACTATTTTCATAAACTTATTTTAAATATTGGTAGTATAAGGACATAATTTTGTAATATAATTCGTATTCTTGCATGAAAAGAAATATTGACTAGTACAATAAATTACATATAATTATTAAACACCTTGTAATATAAACATTAAATAAAAAATATAATTTAAATAAAACACTTATAATTATTTGATAGTATTAAAAATTCATTCTAATTCTAACTCATACGTATATAATACATAAACTATTATACATACATGTATACAGATTTTTTTCAAAGTTATAAAGGAAAGTTAGAAAGAAAAATAATTTCTCTTAAACTAAAAGAAATATTCTATTATTTTATGCAATCTGAACACTTAGTTTGAAGATTTAGTAAGTATTTTAATTCCGACGCATACTCTTCAACTATAGGACAAATACGTATTAGCGTATCATGTATTTATATCCAAGAATATGCGGATAATGATTTAAAAAAATATGTTTTATATCTGTTATATCAATGTGTAAGATTAGGAATAAATTAACAGTAAAAAATTTATTTTCATTTTTTATCTAAATAATACGTATTTTTAAAATTTTTTAAAACTTTATATAAAATTTTATTTCTTTTAGCATAAAAAATCTACTTATCTCATGTCCCATGATTATGAAATATCTTTTATGTATTTGAATATTTAACGAACAATATAGAAATAATATTTATTTCCATTTATTGAAAATAAGTTTAAAATTCCATTTTATGATATGAAGGTGCATAAAATTTTTCGATTATAATTCAAATAGAAAATAAATGGAATATGTATTTTTTATAAATAGAAAATATATCTTTATGAGCAAATATTATAAAGAAATATATAAATTATGTATATTATAATATATTATTTACAGTTCTGTAGTAATTTCATCTTGTGGTCGGAACCCGAGAATTGTAAAATCATCAATGAGGTATTCACGAGCAGGTGACCAGTCAGATAAAATAGTATAATTAGCAGCCTCTGTACTACTTTGAAATTCCCACTGAGGATTTAATTCACGATCGAGTCCATTTGCTTCGCATTCATCTATTGCACAAGTAGATTCTGTTAATGCTGCACCAGTATTGTAATTATGATTAAAAGTGGCAATGGCAAGTTCTTGAAAATGTGTATTCGAAGGTTTCAGTCGTTTTTGGTTATCATATACTAATGGAGTTGTTTGTCCTATGCTGGATCCATTTGGACTAAGTTTCTCATTATAAACTCCGGAACTATTTTGTCCAAGACTGGAGCTCACAGGACTATCTTTTACATATCCAAGACTGGAACTTGTAGGACTGATACTTGATTTGTCGCTTGCTTGAAATGTTGTAAGTGGTACATTTGATTGGAATGTAGTTAGATTGGTTGGAGTGGTTCTTGGTTCATAAGACTGAGGTGATTGTGTGATTGTTACTTGTTGTGATGAATTCATTTGGACGGATGTTGTTGGTTGTTGCAAGAATGTTACAAGTTGAGCCACCTTGAAATACAAAAAGTTATTTTTTAAAATTTTTATAAATTTTTATTGATTTATACAGTTTTATTTTAAAGAAATTCTTTTTTTTCATGCATATATAATTATTTCTTCAACGTGCATGACTCACCAAAGTGTTTTAGAGACTTGCATGAAAAAAAAACAAAATTTAAAATAATGTTTTAGCTAATTGCACATAACAAGTTTTTTGGAATTAAACTTTTTTTCGGAAGTAAATTTTTTTTACAATTAGTTTTTACAATTAGTTTTACAATTGTTTCGAACCAAATAATTAACTTACTTCGGGTGAGCTGTGCCTTTTGTATCGCCTTAGTAATCTTTCGGCCCATGAAAAAAGTCTTTGCCAATCATCTGGAGGAACAGGTATTTCATCATCTCTTCTGTTAATAAGAACTAGTATCCTTGCCAAATCACGTAAAACTGGTCTGCAAATCATAATTATAATAAAAAAAGAACATATCAATTAATAGCTAATTAATAGCATAATTGTACCTATAAGCTTGTATCCCAACAGCACCATCTCCATTATTTCCAGAATAGTATAATTCTCTAACTTGTCTTCTAGTGTCATTGAGCATGGAAAGAAACGTGTTACCTTCTCCTCTAAGCATTGCAAGATGTTTTAAAAATTCTCTCCTCTCTGCGCTAAAATATAAATGAAACAATACATTTAATATCATTCACTTTTAATCATTCTTATAATATATTAACAAATAAAAAAATACCTGTCTTCAAACTGCTGGATTAATTTAGCAGCTTTTTTTTTCCTTCTATGTACAATTATAGCTCCGCATAATATTATCAGAATACATATAGTTGCCCCAGAAACAACTCCTACCAAAATGGCTACTTGACTTCCAGTAAATCCAAACATATACCCTGTTTCTTTACAAATTCTTCCCATATATTCATCTCTAGTTGACCAATCTGCAATATGGCCTGGTGGACAAGTATCAACACAAGTACCTTGATGTAAAAGAACTGCACATCTTGCACATATTCTATCTCTACATCTCTTGCAGCCACCTTCTCCTTCAATACATTCTGTAATCATAGAAACAGTGCAATTTACATTTTGTTCTATATGACAATGAATATTTATGAATTAAATAGTTCAAGAATATTGGTTGATATTGAAATGTTAATTAATGATACTGACAGATATATAGCGCTATAAATATTTTAACAAGTTAATTTTTCGTGTATCTCTATTTTAAATAATTAAATCTATATTACTAAACATTACTAACATTATAAATTAAGCTCAATGTTCTTTTATACTTCCAGAATAAAATGTGCCACTTTATGAATCTCGCGTGTAAAGGGATGTAAGAGGAACGTGCAAATCGAATACGTTGTTCAGTAATCCATAGCCTGAAGCTGTGCCCCAAATGCTTGACACACATACTCGCTAAATATCAATATTTAAATATATGAAATTGAAATTACATACACGAAGTACTAATATATAATAATCCTTAATTATGTTATTCTAATCAAAAATATATTTACATAAAAAAATATATTTATATGTGTAATGTATTATAATTTTGCAATTTCATTGTATAGTGCAAATGTTAGTTTCACTGAAAATTTCTTTCTTCTAAAACTATTATGTTCCAGGGAATCTATACAATTTTAAAATTTTTGTTTAAATTCAAATTATTTTAGATTGCATTACTTATTAGATGATCTTTATAATTCGTTGTAATGATTTTTCTAAAGAAAAAGAGCAATGACTCGTAATAGAATGAAACAGAGTCGTCGTATGAGCTAAAAAGACCTATGTGGTCTGCGAGGGCCTATTAGCACATATATGAGGAATGCGGTTGTTGGTTTCTTGATTACGTGTCCGATCTGTTTTGTAGGATAGTGGAAGGATCAACGATCACATTCTCCAGGTTGAGAACATTATCTCGTATCCATTTGTTGTCATATTCGAGCATTCTAATTTTAAATTCTTAAATTTATTTCAGTCAATGTACAAATCTAGGAAGTTTAAGATAAGCTTTCAATGCATGCAGAATATAAAGATTATATTAATATTATTATAAGATTTCTATTTATATGTACAGAAATTTAATGACATTTCAATAAAAAAATTAATTTATTCCAAATTTATTTTATATAATTTATATAATGCGATTGACAAATTAAATATTTCAAAGATATTGATTTACTTGTATGTGTGTACATAGCTTTGTAGAAGATTAAATTAAATTAAATATTTCAAAGATGTTGATTTACTTGTATGTATGTACATAGCTTTGTAGAAGATTAAAATAAATATGTTTGTTATGTTTGCTGGAATTTTCATTTTATGTTATGTTTGCTTTGAATTATTACTAGTTCAACAATGAAAAGATTATAAGCTTACATAGATAAGTTAGAAAGCAATGGAAAAGAACTCTTTTACTACAGTCGTACATAAACCGAATGATAAATATATAATGAAACTTGATGTAGCCTAGAATTTACATATCGATTCTACTTATATATGTAGTTAGTTAATTGTTTCGAGCATGTGCAGAAACAATGTCGAATTTTGTCGATAACTATGATTCAATTATAAACTCCAATTCAAATAGAAAGTATACTGTGATATATATATATATATATCAGTAATGTTATGAAAATTATGTTGCAATTAGTCTTATTGAAATATAATGTTCCTTTAACTCAAAACGTTTAAAAATAATCTATAGAATTAATAAAATGAATTTTATATCTCAAATTCATATATATGATATAATAAAATATAGAATTAATAAAATTCATATATATGATATAATAAAATATAGAATTAACAAAATTTTATATCTCGAATTCATATATATGAATTTTATATAATTTTATATTATACATGAATCTGTAGAATTAATAAAATGAATTTAAATGTCCATTTTTGGATGTGGAGTGAAAAGGGGTTGGCAATAAAAATTGTCACAAAAATTGTCATGCAATCTGGAATAAAGAAAAACCAGAAAAAGTCAAAATGATTCTAGTATTTCCAGTTTCTCTGAAACAAACAGATCTTCAGTTTATAGAAAGCTATAGAAAGTTATAAACATTTATACACGATAT